TGTGTAAAAGTGTATAAACCCAATTTGTGTATTGCAAGTAAATGAGAGAGAGTTGAGGAAATGTGGTCTTTAGTATTGATTCTTGCATTAGCCTTTTACATTATACAATGGGGGTATTTATAGTGATACATATGGAATGGGAGCCCTTGGATGAAGTGGTACGTGGCCTCATCTCCTTAGTTCAAATGTCTGTTCTTAGGCATGGGACTTGACTTGCTAGCTTACGGCGCACTTATTGCTTGTGCAGGGCCTCCATGCTAGTGACAAGACTTGACCTTTATGCTTATGACAAACGTTCCATCAATCATTCGAATAAGATCTGTGCAGGCGATCTCTTGGGAGAAGTGACCATGGAGGATGTTTCCCTGTGGTTCAAAGGCTTGCGCATCAGCTTCGGGGCTTCGGCCATTTGTCATGATACTTCCACTTGAGGGCCTCAGCTGCTCTCAACAGGTTCCAGCAGCCGGGCTCCTGTTCGTAGGCATCGGTCAATGGACCTAGGACAAGAGGAGCCTCGACAGATGGACTTCGGCTCAGTAGTTCGGATGTAGCCCCACCTCGGCATTGTATGACACCTCGGCAGGAATGCCACGTGGATCGCCGTGAGTGGGCCATTGTCCCAGATAGGTTGGCCAGGCGTGACAACACGCCACAATATGATCATATTATCCTAGTTAAAAACATTAATTACAATGTATACTCTTGTTTCACATAATATTATCAAAAAATGGTTTTTGGTAAAACACTAAAGGGCTTAGCATTGAGTTAATATCCAGTCTATTAGTAGCCCAAGTTTGAAATGGGCCTTTATATTATTGGGCCATTATACTCCATGAATAAAAAATGGAAAATTTTCTGGAAAGATTATTATTTAAAATGTGATTTTTTTAGAGAATGTTTAATTGAAAATTTGAAAAAAGTTATAGTACGAAGAATCTGTGGTTAAAAATAACGTCGAGAAAAAATAATTTTCAAGTAATCACTTTCAAACAAAGGTTTATGGCCGGTTTGACCTGATTTATGTTTTTGCTTTTGCTTAGATGAGCTTTTTGAAAAAGGTATCTTAGGTTATCTTCCTAAAAGGTTCTTCTATTCATACTAGGCTCGGCCAAAAAATTGAAAACCGGTCAAATCGAATCGACTCGTTTCCCTCCAATCTACAATTTTGTCGATAAGTAATAGCACTGAAAATTTATTTTCACAAACTCATTATGTTATACACAGTCTTTTTTCCCTACTCAGTTAGTCAGACTATATAATGCATAAAAAATAAATTTTTTTTTTAAGTTTTCTGTTGTTCGGTTTCTATTAACTTGATTTTATTTGTTGGTCAATAATTCTTCAATATAAAGTTATCGTGTTCTCTTAGTTCTTGTAATCTAAGTGAGCCTAAAACTTGGACATTTAAAAAAAAATAAAAAAAAATTCAATTTGGACCAATATTTCAAACCGACTAACCGAACCAATTTGGTTTTGGTTCAATTCGATTTAAGAGCTAGAGTGTATTGGTTTGGGTTGAAATTCATCCAAATCGACTGATTTGATTTTGGTTTCGGTTTCGAGTGAGAGTACAAATTGATCCAAATCAAACCGCACTAAGGTCTAATTCACACAAAGTAATTTTTGAAAGGTATCCAAATATGTTTAAAAACATACTTTTCATTTCATAAGCGACTTTCAACTTATTAAAAGCCCACGAACTTATAATAAATTAGTTTCTGTTAAGCCTCAATTACTTAGAAGTCATTTTTTTTTCAAAGTCATTTTCAGCTACATATTTCCTGGAATTCACAACTTTTATCAATACTTTTCAATCACATATTTTATCTATTTTTATTAACATTTACTAATGATTTAATACTTAACAAAATCAATCAGGGGATTAGTATCATGGAGAATTTTTAAAAAATTTCATTTTTCTTTGAATTGACACATTGAAATGCTGTAGTTTGACAAAATTACATATATTTGACTGATGGCAGGTATCTCTCTTCATTAGCATTAGAACATAAATTTTAAGGTCTTTCAAGTTATGTACTTAAAAATCATGATCTGAAATACCTTTAAAAAGTTATTCTTTGAAATAAATTTTATTTAGACCAATGCTTTAGAGCCCCAATTTATTAAACTTTGCTAGCAAGAAATTTTATTATAAAACGGATTTTATTGGCATTTAAAGGCGATTAATCAACCAATTTGTTCTTTATTGTACCAGAAAAAAGGATTTGAATAATGCAGATAAGATATTAACTTCGTTGTTTCATTAATCATATTCATTCCATTTACGAAGTTGTACATTTGCATGGTTAATTAGTTATAAATATGCTTACGTCCGGACCTCTAGACAGGGCCACACGGCCTTCATGGACCGGAACCACATGAGGGCCTATTTGAAAGGGTGAGCAACCCGATCCTCAATGGACACATGTTAAGTCCTTGATCAAAAGTGAATTGCCATGCTGGACTTGAGAGTGGTTTAGTCTGTGTAACACATTTTCTTACGTGTATCATAATAACTTTTTCTAGCTGCAATCAACCAATCAATCAAGCAGAAATTTAAGACATGAATGCAAAAGATTTTTCGATCGAAAGCCCAGGGTTTAGCGATCAATTTCGACACCTAATCTCCATTGAGCATTCACGAATACCAAAGAATAAAACGAAATATTTACAAGATTACAGTTTCAATTCTCCTCCAAAATACTCGAGAACAATGCTCCATATGCCTTGGAGATTGTCAATTCTGATCAGCACATTTGTACGTAGCACAATAATCTCATATCGAACTCTTAATTACTATCTATACTCTCTCAAACATTTATGTAGATATTCATACCACATTAGTAGACTTTGTTATGTCAAACAATTAGACTTTGTTTGATGATCATGATTCACATGTACAAAGCTGTCTGAACATCATAATTGATAAAATGCATGCTTGAGTAAAAGATTGAATGTGTTCAAATGGAATGATTATTGTGTGTTCCCTGTTTCATCTTTGCTCAAATAGGTAAAATTGTACGAGCCATCATCGTTAACACAATATTTTCGTCTAAGTGTGAACTTCATTAGTGATATGCTTAAGTATAAAAAGGTTTGATAGGTTAAGAGCTCAGCTTGCGCTTGCATTCACAAGCGGATTGTTTTTGAACATCGATATGTACGTACTGGTTCACTCTAGGCTCTTTTTTCCCTCCAAATACTTAGTGCTTGTTTGATGGAGATTTTGATAATTGATTTTTTGACCGTTAGACATAAAATGGATCATATCTATAAGAGAAAAATTCAAAAATAACGATTTTAATAGTGAAATAATGGTCAAAATTTGATTTTAATTGACTTTTTAGCTATATCAAACAAGCTTTTAATAAAGAAACTTTCCACGTGCTATGTTGCACCACTGTGGGGGCCCAATCATACTCAAGAAGAATTTGATCCTGACTCAGAAGTGGACCAACTTGATTGTGCAAAGCCAATCGATTATGGGATGATTTACTTTATATATAGTTCAAATGTTATCGTGTTCTTTAGAATGTGACAAGAGGATGAGAAAATTTTGTACGCGTGTGTAAACAAAATGAATAAATTTGACTGCAAAAGTATGATAAGATGCAATTTAAAACTAAATAAAAAACATAAAAGGGAAAATATGGTTCCAAAATTGGTCTACATTTTGGATTAATTTACTACAAGCCCACAGTAAAAGGGACCAGTTTTATTCAACTCGTCACAATCATATTTTCTCAAAGTTGTCGCTATTCAGCACTTGTTTGTGCTTGTAATTATTATTTAGTATTCTTTACATAATGCTAAAGTTAACCAAAAAAGTTATATACTGTAGAGTTGAAATTGATGAATTTTCCAATTTCTCTGAACTTTCATTAGACACGTATTTTTGCAATAACTAAAATTGACATTTGAAATGATACAAATGTCAAAATATTTGAGACAAGGGAAAAGCCACCTGTACAGAAAATTTGTCCACAGAATTACACGAGATAGTCATCCATGTGGGCCCCAGCCATGAATAAAAAATGTCCAAAAAAATTTCCCAACCCCTCTACTGCGAGTAATCTGGTATCCTTATGTGAAGCTACAGTTCTGTAACTGCAGCATAGTCCTTAAGATAATTCAACTAATTAAAATTTTAGATTGAAATCAGTCTTTTCACTTTGATAGTCAATTCACAAGTTGGCCGATCAATTGTGGCATGTTGGATTCGGTGCTCACCAATATTTCAAAAAGCATTGTAACAATGTAATTTGCAAATATTTGCATATATAAATTAAAATGTATTGGCTCGGTTTGACATGCAATTTTGATGAGTTTACACTCCAATCCGATCTATGAAATTTAAAGACAAATCGAGTTAGGTTCAATCCATATCATTAGGTTCACTATTTACCTGAATTGGATCTGCTTATATGTCGATCGATCTGGACTAGCACACCCATTATAACGTTCTTAAGCACGAGGCTCGACTAATATGTTGTGTGATAATGTTTCAGAGAAATCTTAGCCATACAAGTGTGTTCGAGACTCGCATCATCAATTAAGTCGTCACCTTCCACTTGGAAAGTGTGCTGCTCATTCATCCCCCTTTTGTTCCCATTTTGACTTATAATTTCATTTTCATGGTGCCTGCCTACCACTTCCAAAAAGCATTAGTGCTTGTTAGCCTAAGCTTAAAATATTTACTCATAAGTAAATAAGTAAATTATAAATTAAATCTTTTTAATTTATCCTAAGTTGAGAAATAACAAGTTATCACTTGCAGTAGAAAACTGAACGTCTCGTACGACCCTTATATTTGACATGGTGCTACCTAATTCACCAGGCCAAAACAAAGTTATTAGCTTATTTAAGTAACATTTTTAAGTAAGTTTGACTTACTCTTAACTGAACCAAACATGGTCTTGAAGTCACTGTTCCACACAAAAATTATAATAGGATTTGGCAAAGATTTAAGCGCCATGCATAATCTTTTGATATCAACTCCTTTTCTGACTTGAGCCTGATTTTATTAATAAATTCTGCTACCAAACACCACAAATAAATCCACCATGTATAGTGCCCCCAACTCTTTACTGTCCACATTAAGAATATATAAATCCACTTCTTGATTGCAAAATTATATTCAGAGAGAGAGAGAGAGAGAGAGAGAGAGAGCGAGAGCGAGAGCGAGAGAGCGAGAAAGGAATTAGTGTGTGTTTGTGGGACAATGGCTGGCACTTGTGTTCGAGCACTGGTGATTCTTCTATGTCTTTTTTACCTCGTATGCCACAACGGCGCCATTCCTGTTATGAGTAATTAAAAACTATCCTTTACAATTCTTCTTGTTTTTATATTCTTCTTCTGATGTAGATGAAAGCGTAGAAACTATGAAGCGATCGAAATCTTGTTGATTCCAAAAGAATAAACATGATCTCCTTCTAGTTTGCTAGATTTGTGTGCTATTTAAACATTTCCGAACGTTCTTCCGATTTTCAGTCTTTTCTCGGTATTTTGAAACATCAACGAGACAGGATCAAAATGTTGTTCTCTATTCTTGACGGGTGAAGCTTATAAAACATTGAATAAAGCCAGTTATCCAGGCTTAAAAACATTTACTCTACTTGTAGGAAGTGGAAGCCTGGGAAGCCTGCGGGTGAAGAAATCTCAAGGCGATGAAATTACAGAATCCGCTCAAAATATGGTACTCAAAACAAAAAACCCACAAAAAATAAAAGTTTTGAGATCAATCTATGAACAAACTCTTGATTTAATTCTGCAGGAAAGTGAAGAACAAAACTTGAGTTTAGAGGGCATAAAGAGAAGAATTGATGCTGAGCTGAATGATTATCCAGGATCAGGGGCAAATAATCGCCACACTCCAAGGCCACAACTGGGAAGAGGCTGTATGGACTGCTAAACATATTATATGCAAATTAATTTCCTTAATTATATACATGTGTGGTATTATTGTGTTGAGAAAAAAACATGGTTTTGTGCCTTATTGTAGCATAAATATATGTATGCTATATTTAGAAAGTAGGTTATTCTTTGGCTTAATTTCCAAATGAGTAATTAGGTATTTAAATTGGAAGAATTAAATGTATAATTTAGAGTGTAACGGCAGGAATGGTGGATGCTATGACATATGTTTTTCTATCTTTTGAAGGCATTGGATTTTGTGATCTTTGCAATTTCAGTAATATCGTCATCATGTATGTTTAGGTGGCAATAAATGATAAGTCTAATAAAATGGATCTTATATCTCTACTTTTTTTGTACCTATTCCACTTTATTGCCACATAGGCCAACCACTTTTATATGTTTGCCTCTTTTCGACCTTAAATGAATCGGTGATTCAATATGGGTATATCATGTGAAAAGAAATGATAGTTTATTATTTTACTAAATATATAGAAATGAACCACATGAAAACAATGATTTGCATGCATTAAAGCTCAAAATATATTGGAAACACGACTAGATGAACAAAGTTTTATTTTACATGAATCATTTAATTTTGACTAGATAGCAAGACGTGTGAAAAAAAAAAAAAAATTTACCATCAAAGATTAAAAGGTTGTTTGGTGAGAATTAAAATTAGATTTTCAATAGATTTTGATAGAAGTTTTTGAAATGTGTAGTTAAAAAGTTATGAGACCCATAAAAAATGTAATTAATATTGATTATTTGATTTTGACCCAGATTAAAATCTGAGCCAATCAGGGGCTAAGCTAGTGACCCTGAACATGAAATACGCCATATTTTTCCATACAATAACCTATTGATTATTATTAGGTTAAAAGTCAAATTCAGAAAGTGAGAGTTGAGGCAATAATTGTGTTATAGAACCAAAAATTTGTTGGGCTCGTTTGATAAAACTTTTGATTTTATTTTTACTTTTCGTAGAAGAATTTTTTGAGGAGATTATCTGAGGTCATTCTCTCCATATGCTCTTTTAGTCAAATATAGCACTTTTTTAAAAATTATCGAAATATGTTCGGTGTTTCGTTTATGCTAAGTATCGAGTGACATGACGCACTACAGTAGGTGGTGAAAGACAATGGTTAGTTTTAAAACTAATTACACCATCCATTATTGTGTGTCACCTAAACACGGTGCTTAGTATAAACTAAGTATCGATGCTTAGGAGATCATTTTCATATTACTACATGAAAAAACAAAAAGGAAAAAGGACCATTAATTAACCTGTGTAAAATATGTCTTTAAAAAAAATGAATTTGTAAGTATCTATAAGCAACTTGGAGATTACTTTATGTGTTGAGTGGAGGAAAGTGCATTTTTGAGGTGTAAACACATCTCATTCTTGGTGCAATTAATCTGTGTCAGGACCATTAATTAACCTGTGTAAAATATGTCTTTAAAAAAAATGAATTTGTAAGTATCTATAAGCAACTTGGAGATTACTTTATGTGTTGAGTGGAGGAAAGTGCATTTTTGAGGTGTAAACACATCTCATTCTTGGTGCAATTAATCTGTGTCGCACTTACTCAATTTCATTACTTCCAAATGGCATTTCTACAGCCATTCTAGGACGGCATATTTCCATACTTCGAGAAGAAATAATTTAATATAATTACTCTTTTGTTACTTTTATCTAAAAATTATGCTCATTTCAAGCATTTGATGAACTGAACTCGACACCTAAAATAGCCATGCTTGCCAAATGAACGACGAGAGCAACATTATGTTATATAAATATAATACAAATTTGTGTTTAATTTTAGAATTGTTTTTATATACAAAGTATGTATATAAACTTCGATATATTCTCAACCAAGTGTGAAATGTCGAAGTTGATAAATTATTGATAGAAGTATCTTAAATTTCATATAAATTTAAGTGCATCTTTATATCTAATAGATATGAGATATCTATGAGGTGCTTTTACTATCCAAATTCTTTCATGTTTCATTCAAAATTACGTTATGTGCAGATGATTTTCATTGAAAGATGAATCAAGAAAATAGTAGGATTAGAACTTTCATTTTGTTGAATTTACAAGTTAAAACAAAAGAAAATGTCTAAAGCAAAATTTATGCATCCCCATTCCCCATAACAGATTTTATGAAGGGGGTCCGTTAGAAGGAACCCAAGTGCTTGATCCTAAAAATTGGTTAAATAAAGAAGTTGCCGTTGACCAAAATATAGCCTGACCAAAAATATAACCCATTATGCGCAATTTGTCTTTAATTTTGTGGTTAAAAATATAGCCTGACAAAATAACTTATTAAAAAAATATTTGCTTGTAATTCACATTTTATTATGGTCCATTATGTTTGCTTATGGAAATAAAGTTCATTAATTTTACATTAGGTTAAGTCCAATAATACAAGTTAATATTTATAAAATTATTAGTTTGCTACATGGGAACTATTCACAGTTCCCCATGATCAAATTGAAAGGAAAGTTGAAGTGGAAGTTTGAGTTTCTTTTGATATCGTTGGCTCGTTACTTTCTAATAGTCAAACGACAATTGAATTTTAACATAAATACGAGCACTAGTTAAGCGAAATCCAATGATTGTGAGTCCGTATCTGATTTAGAGAATTAAACGAGATATAATAACTTTACATTATGTTTAATTTTACTTAATAATTAGTTAAATTTAATTTTAAGCTAATTTGCCGAATATAATTTTTAAAATCACTATTTTTACTAATAAAAAAATTTCTTAAACTTACTTTTATAAGGGAACTTGTAAATATGCTTAAACCAATCAATTTAAATTAGAAAGTGAAACTTTAAACATGATTAATTATTTTAAGTAGGGTAAAATTACGCATTTTGCTCCAAACCTTTCATTTTTGTTGCATCTTTATCCCCAACCTTTTAATTGCCACTCATCCCTAATGACCACAAACGATAGTTTTGCCCTGGGTTCTAACATATCAGCATTTTGATGAGAACATGCACTGCAACAAAAAATTCTCAAATGGGAGTAATTTGGAATCTCTAGACAACACTTCCTTGGATGTTTTACTCCCTAGTGCACTAGAGGGAGTTCTTTAACTTCGTATGAAACTAATATTACAGCTTCTCCCCAAAAGACTTTTAAGCTAACCATTATACACCTAACTTTGTCTAAGAGAATCCTATTTATTCTCTCAGCAACCTCATTTTGTTTAGGGTAAGTGGCACAGTTTTATGGCTTTGAATTCTATTAATTTTGTAGAACCGATAAAAATCAATGTTGCAAAATTTCAAATCATTACCGTTCTAATGATTTTAAATTTCCTTCCGATCTAATTTTCTATATTTCCAAGTTTTATACTTTTTAAAATTATCAGATTTTTGTTTTAACGGGAAAATCGAAACTTTCCTAGAATAATCATCAATAAAGGATAAAACAAAAATTCTTCCTTGTGTGATCGTGGATGAAGGACCTAAATGTCAAAATGTATATATTTCAGGATAGAGGTAGATTTATGTTTTACAGTATTAAAATACAGCATGTGCTGCTTGCCTAAGGCGCAATTCTTAAAAATGGAACTTTTAAGAGTCTTTCATAAGCACACCCCTTTTATAAAGGATTCGACGGCCTTTTTTATTCACATGTGCTAATCTTTTGTGCCATTTAAAAGTTATATCAAATTCAACATTAGAGGCCCCAGCAGTGGGATTAAGCACTGCATTAGCTTTAGTGACATAGATCTCATTTCTCTTAATACATTTGAAATTAACAAGTATCACTTTTACAACTCAATTTCAAGCCGATCGTGTAAACCTATGTCATCTAAATCCCCAATTGAAATTAAATGTACGTTCAAATTTAAAATATATCTAACTCTTTCAAGAGTGTTGATGTATCCATTTTCAAATTTCAAGGTCACATGTTAATTCCTTCAACTCAACGGGCCACATTATTACCCATAACCATCTCTTCTTTATTAATCCTTTTAAAGTTTTCTAATCAGTTATAGAAGGTACAACCTGTATCCAAGATCCAAGAATCATTTTTATCTGTAAAATTTACAGTGTTTAGATCATAATGATGCTCTGTAACAATATAAACATCAACTTAGTTAGACTTTGGAGGTTCTACCGCACTCCCTTCATCTACAACTCTCTCTTTCAGTTTATTTTCATTTTATAACGGCCTTTTATACAATACAGGTTTTCCCACAAAACATTTATTGTTTCTTGCTTTAGACTTTGACCTAGACCTTCCATTATTCTACTTTTTATTGTTGTTTGCCTGATTATTTGGATTTTTATAATTCCCATTATCCCTATTTTTGGGATATGTCCCTTACATACAAACTATCAGAATGACGCTCAAAATTACTTTCATGCTTTTCAGATTTTCGTTCTAAATCTTTACTTAAAGAATTAATGACAATGCCAGGGAAGAGTCCTCTCGCCATACTTAATGAGAGTCTTGACATATCCATAAGCCTTAGAGATGGTATTGAGTATTACTGCTTCATACTCTTCGGATACCTTCTCACCAGTGTTTGTATATAAATCTTGTACTAATTTATTAAAGGCAATTAAATTGCAATCTAGTTCTTTAAAGTGATCACTCTTAAACCTATAAATCTTTCTAACGAAGGACAACTTATTAGTCAACGATTTTACCATGGAGTACGTTTCTTAGAACTTGGTCAAATAGATGCAAGATAATAAAAGTATAGGCAAATTTATGTGCTTCAATTTCTGATCAGAAATCATAGAATCAGTATAATCTTGAATAATAACGTTTGTAACATTTTGTTGAATAAGAACACATTTCGTTTTTTGTTGCTAAATAGGAAAATATCATTTTTCATTTAAAACTCCAAGTTCAAAAGTAGTAATAGTCACATTTTTCAAGAAAATGAACACCGAGTTAATTTTAAAGAAAATATCCACACAGTTTCTTTAGAAAAAGATTTTTGTTTTTTTTTTTTTAAAAATACAAAAACTTTTGGTATCAAGTTAACTTTAAGTAACAATAGTGACAACACACACCATATCCCAAATATAAAATATATCGGTCTTCAAAAAACCAAAAATGATGGTAAAATCACACAATATACCACATATATGAAATATGGATTATTCTATGTGTGCACCTTATGATGTACACAATATATTATACCCCCTCACATGGAGGGGGCCCACAAATATTTTATTGCATGTGGACCCCTTTATGTGAGGAAGATGTAATGCATTGTGTATACA